GGTCCCTAATTAAAGCGCTGCAAGCAGCATTGGGCGGGACCTCGCACTCCACGCGACTCGGGGCGTGGCGCGGCCGCGTCACGTGCCGTCGTAACACGTGCGGACCACAACATGAAATTTTCACGTCACCCAACTCCCAAGCCCTCATCGCCAGATTACTCTATGTTGTCACGCGTGTTTCAGACACTGCAAAATGATTCAAGCTTTCATGGAGAGACTCAGTGCGAAAGGTGAAATTCAGCGACACACAGTTTGACGCACAGTAAATGAACTTACGATCACCAATGTGTGTAGATTGCAGTGATCGAATATGAAGTCAGCATAATCAAATCTGTAGGAGTTAGTTAAAACAGAAGCCCTTAAATGCCGGAAATGGCATCACAGTTTGAGATTCGATTCAACCTGGCCAACTTTGATGGTAAAAAACACATTTGCCATAAAAATACTGAAATGATTTGTTAGGATTCCTTATTATGTTGTAAGGTATAGGCATTGTTAGGTATTTGCCATCTATAGCTACCAGATTGTTTCTACTCAAATTTGTACAGAATACAGAGAATTACAGGTCTGTTGCATTAACATACTGTACCTGCATTTGTTCATATACCCAGTTGAGGAAGTAGGTGACATTGCCATAGACTCCTGGCTTGTTCCTCCAAGCACATCCAATCCCCCAGCTTGTGTCCCCTGCCAGCCACCAAACATTTCCTTCTTTGACCACCAGGGGCCCTCCACTGTCACCCTGCAGCATACAGGAGGTATAAGTATCTTAGGTTAGTGCATGTGGGTCTGACTTAGGCCAGCTTTTGGGACACATCTCAGACCAGTTAATTGGGGGTGGCTTGTCCAATTGGGGACAAAAGCTGTGTACCCAATTTGGAAAAAGGTGATTTTTAAGTGAGTGGTTATGGTTAGGGTAAGGGTAAGGGTAAGTCTCCAGGAAATGAATGTAAGTCTATATAGTGATGCTAAAACACAACAAGTAAACATCAGTGTATGTGTGTGTGCGCCACAAACCTGACACGTGTCGACTCCTCCCTGCAGGTTGCCAGCACAGATCATGGTCTCAGTGATTTGTTCGTCTAACACATCAGGTTTGTTGCAGATCTCTCTGCTGTAAATGGTCACCTGGGCCTGATTTAGTCTGTCAGGAGATGGCCCTGGAAAAAAAAATTAATGATTGTACACCCACAGTTAGCTCAGTCATGCATAAAAAAGCACTGTTCCATTACTTGTACTTTAAACCTTAAAAAGCAAATGACCCCTGACACACTTGAACAAATAATCTACAGGGAGGGATGAAAAGTACATGTTCAGAAAATGTTTGCTGGTTTCTCAGTCAACATGGTATGTATTCTTGGACATACATATGTAATGTTTGGCTCACCAGATGAGCGCAAGACTCCCCATCCTGTAATCCAGGCTTGCTGTCCAGCAGGGAGGTCCATGGCAATGTTTGGGAGACACACTGGCTTCACTGTTCCTGAAAGAAATGTGTATCATCAACGTGGGAAAAGACCATCACGATTCAACTAATGAAATATGGATTTTACTGGCAAGTGTTTACTTGTAAATGTTAGAGGTGTATCAAGCTTTAGGAGAGCAATGTCGTTGTCATTAGTTCTTGTGTCAAATTTTCCATGACTAATGATTTTGCGAACTGCTTTGCCAGCGCCAAAGCTCAGTCTTTCCAAGCTCACGTCACCAGAGTATACCATCCACATTCCAGGATCAGAGTACCTGCCATGAGGTAAAATAGTCAAACATGAGGAACACAAATCTCAAATTATTTTCTGAATGTCCATCAAAAGACAGTAAAAGACAGTAATAAAAACAAAAACAAACAAGACAAATGACATGAAGGGCCTAATGGTGTAAAGACTAGGCACTCACGTTTGGAAGCAGTGTGCAGCAGATAGGATCCAGTAAGGGCTGATGATGGAGCCTCCACAAATATGTTGATTATAAATCTGGAGACTGACCTGCCATGGCCAGGCTCCATTTACTGCCTCCGTACCACCCACGATACGAGTGTTGGGGGCTGCTGAACTCTCTCCACATTCTGAGGATGGAGTAAAAGACCTCTTAAAAGATATTTGTTCCCCCTTATCCAGAGGAAGTCTGGATAACTAGCCACTGCTAAATCCCATTTTTAGGACATCTTTGCACATATCACCTTAATTCATACATATTGTATTGGTGTAGTTATGTCCCTGTTAAACCAGTAGCTTACCAATACAGTGAAGTTTGACAACTCTGGCTGAGCAAGTTCGGCTGCAAAAAAAAAGGATGACAAAATTATTTTTCAAAACAATCCGAAACATGATAGTTAACATTTATTTTGGAGCTGCACAACGGGAAATAAGATTGGTTCAGCTCCCAGTGGGAATTTGCAGTGATACATTAGGCAGGCTGTAATACCTGTAAGTGAGCTGTGAATGTATATATGATACATGGTCACTTCCAGTCTTCAGCTTCATGTATCCCTTCCAGGCTTGAGAACCTGCACTGGTTTGGGTATAGGACACATAATCCTGCCTGCGGGATGAAGATAGACACAAAGACAAAGGTAAGAGCAATATACTAAGATTGGGGTGCAGGACCTTTAAAAAAGGTTTTTATATCAGCCAGTGAAGTCATTCGATGTCCAGGGGCATTTCCAGAGGGGGGGCCTAGAGTGGCATTGGCCTACCACATTATCCTTACCTCTTTCACCCCTGACAAAACTGGCAAGGCCTTTTTCAAAGGGATCCTTTGACCTCTGACCTCAAGAAATCAGAATGAAAATGGCTTCTATGGGTACCCGCAAGTCACCCCTTTGCAGACATTCACACTTTATAGTAATTCAATGCAGTAAATTGCATGTGGCATAAATGTGTTATTTCGCATAGTTAATTATATTTCTGCATACTGGGGTCCATAAACAGTATTGGAATTGTATAAATTGGGACTGACTGGAAAACTGAGACACGTACTTCTTGTCACCCCTGTATAATTCAGTGCCCCTTTTGTTCCACCCCAGTCAAAAGTCTGGAAACACCCCCACCAACGTCCTACCTGAATACAGCTATGAAAAATTTGTGCAATGTAAAATATATTTTTTCTTAAATGTACAACAAGGAATTTTTAACGGTAATGAAACGGTCTCAATTTAATACTGATGCCACTATATGACCTACATAAAGAAACAAGACCCTCAGTGAGAAGACTGCTGATTTCTATATAGTTATGCTTGGCATGGGGGTGGGGGTCAGTCAGATTCCCATGAATCAGACAAAACTAGGTGGTAGAAACATTACTGCTTTTGTCCAAAAGGGATTCCCGGAATCAACACAAAATAAACATTCCTTGTAGGGGCTTTAAAGGTCCAGTGTTGAATCTGAATGTAGCGGTGAAATTGCAGATTACAACCATTTGAATACAGTTCAGCCAAGTGTGACGGAAAAACTACAGTGGCTGCAAAATTTGTGAAAAATGCTCTCAAGAGCCAGTGTTTGTAGAACCATGGTGGTTCAACATGGTGGACTCCGTAGAAGGTGATCCACTCCCTCTGTAGATAAAAACAGCTCATTCTAAGGTAGCAAAAATGATTCTTATTTTCAGGTGATTATACACTAATGAAAACCTTTCTATGGATATTATATTCAATTTCTGTCCACAGATCCTCCTAAATGGTACACACTGGACCTTAAATGAATCAGTTCAACAGTTTAAGCAATTAATATATCAACTGTCACTTAAAACGTAATATGTGTACTGGGTCTTGCTGCTTCATGTTGCTGCTAATCTTCAAATAATCTCAATGGTTTTTTCAATGGCAGCACCATATGAACTTTCAAATGTTGTGGCTTTCCTTTCTGAACACATGAGAACACATGATGGTAAAAAACACTGAAACCTGTAAGGTACGAGCAGCAACATAAGCTCTGGCTTTCAAAAACCCATTGCTCATGCTGGGGACATGAACAATAATGAAGAAGACAATCAGCACCTCTTGTACCCCATGTGCTCACACACAGCTATTGCATAGTTGTTGTCCCAGTTCTCTGCACACACCGGAGTCCACATCTGGCTCTCAGATGAGTAACTTTCCAGCATGAAGTTGGTCCCGTGGAGGCGGACTGTGAAGCACAAAACAATACAATACTATGCAGTTTACTGATGTGATGGCAGATACAGTGTGTATGTATGGAAGAGTGGGAAGTTGATTTGAATGCCCTACAGCACTGGGATTCATCCTCTCCATGAGAACAGTCCCTAACACCATCACACCACTGGGAGGGGCTTAGACACTTCCCACTCCTGCACAATGTCCCCAGTAAACACTGGTAGTATACTGCAAACACACACAAACAGTATAGAGTTCACATACAAGAGCACGCAGGAATCTGCTTACATGATCATCACATATCAAAAATGATATAATGAACCTACAAAGATCTTCAAATTCACTTACAGAAGTACCAGAGCAAGAGGCCAGCCACTGCCAGGACAAGAAGCACACACAGAGATGCACACAGTATATATTTCCAGTGACATGTCTTTATACCTGCAAGGCAAGACCAAAACAGTCATTAATAGGGCTGAAATATATCTGGTATATATGTATGCAGTGGTAAAATTGGTTATGTAAAAATGAAATGCAAAATTGCATAGTCTAGATTTACATAGTGTCACACATGCAAATATTAGATTTGAGTTGATGGTACAAACTCTACTGCATCTCATCCCAAAAATTAATTAATTCTCAAAATGTTTCTTTTTGTGAAGGCTTTTGGAAATGTTTGATATATGTTTCTTATTATACAGTTTTTATTCCTATTTATTTGTTTTTATTAAATGTATAGTTTTTACCTCCTCTGTTGTGCATGTCCTTTGGGCCTTACTATTTTATCAGCTTTGCATGGTTTTCATTTCTTTTTGTAAAGCATTTTGTGACACTGTTAAGAAATGTGAATAGAAATGTGCTATATTAAGAAAGTTATTATTAATAGTAATAATTATCACACAGCCCATGCAAAGCGCTATGTATTCAGTCACCAATGCAGTCAAACATGGCCATAATGGGGAATGAAGCAGAGGATTAAAACTCTCAGATAATTTACTGGCTTACTCTCCTTATCTCAGCAAGTAGCGCATCTCTGGTCTACAGCAAGACTTCACAGCTTTTTCTGAACAGCGGCCACAAGTGACAGTTATGGTATAGTATTTATTATACTGTACATCATTGGTTCCCAAGTGTTTTCTTTAAGGGACTCTTTTTCTATGACTAAATGACTTATATTTTATGGATATTACATATTATTTTCAAAACTGTACAATGAACCCAAACAGTGAACTCAGTAACTCAGTGAATTCTGAATTCTGAGCAGATTATTATTATTTTAAGAATTTAAAAAAATCATAAATACTTAAATATAAATGCTTGGCCATTGTTCTATTAGACATTTTCTTTACTTTAGACTCACTTTTCTTCACAGAAGTGAACCAAATGCTGAGATAAAGGCCTACTGTGTACAGTTTTTTTTTACACCTCTTAAAATCAAGAAGGCCTTGTGACTCCCCAGGAAACTTTGGTGTCCCCAAGGTTGGGATGATAGAACAGTAGCATAACTAGTGCAGAATCATAAAGTTAGCAAACCCACTCTTATATACATCATAGATGGTAAGATTCACCGATTCAAATCGGTGCACTAGCATAAGAGTTCAAAATGTGATTGTACTGATTAAAAAAGTGTGCACCGGATCACTGAACTATTTTTACCTTATTGAATTGCATTGCATCATATTCTTTATTTCCTATTTCTTACATTGGCCTCAGTGATGGAGATGCACATCCCTAGTACACAGCAATATCTATTGAATGTTTTTTAACACTAGCTTTATTAGCTGCAATAAGCTAGTACTAGGCCAGGTATGACTGCAGCAGCAAAACCTCTGAGTGGATTAAAGGGTGTGTTTTGTGGCTTATGAATTCAACTTTTCATTTGTGAGAGGAAGAATATGTTATTTAACATTTTAAGAGCTACATCCACACACTTCATGTTCACATTAACACGTTCTGTTAAAGTGAAGTTAATGATTCATTGAAACTACAATAGATGTCTTCATTCATATGAGTGGATATTTGCTTTGTGACTGACAGGAAGCCATTGTTTACCCACATTTCTATTCCACACCGTATCACTTTACAGAAGGCTTGTGACAAAACATGAGTCAAACATTACTGTACCTTTCCTTTGTCCTGTGTTATGTGGCATCCCAGGTGTTGCAGTGTGGTGAGTGTTGATGGTTTGGGGGACGGCAGCAACGTAGCTAGGGGTCTCTTGTGGGAGGTTAGGGTATATACCCTGCTGTGGGGCAAATGGAGGAGGTCTTCCTTCCTCCTGCTGAAACCCCATGTTGTCATAGATGGGATAATTTGTCTGGAGGCGCAGTAAAGAGAGTAAGTAAAATCCTTCATTAAATGTTAACATATGTAGTAAACTAAGTAAAGAATTAAAAAAGAGAAAACTATATTAAAACAACAGACATTTAAAGGCGTTGCCTTTCACTACAAAAGCTAAACTTACCTGATTAGTATTCATACTGAAACTGGTTACACTGCCTGGGAAAGCAAATTTGGAAGAGGTTCTTCTGCTTTTCTTTCTTGTAATAAAAATGTTTCAATTACTGGTCATAAAAACAGTACATGACACATATTGAAACAGAGTAACAATCATTCAAGAAATATCCATGAAACAAAAAGATCATTGAGCAACTTGTTTATTAGAATGTTAGGTCACAAGAAGTAACTAACCTAAACACATTAATACTCATCAGAAAAGTACAGTGCGGGTCACACATTACCCAAGCAGGCTGGCTTACTTTGACTTTGTAAAAAATAGTTATCCACATACTACTTACTGGTTTTCCACCTACCTTGAAATTACTTCCTCCAGCACTCTGATCCTGTCTGTCACTGCACTCCCAGTTTCTGTCTCATGTTCATGCCATTCCTCCATATAATCAACAGCTATGACCACACCTTTTTCCTCTTCCTGCACAAGCCAGCCTTTGGTGGGCCACTTCATTTAAACAACACTTGACATGGACAAACAGCAGGTATTGATGAAGGCCAGCACTACTCATTATCTTCTGTTCAAAGGCAGGCTCTCAGATAAGATAAATGAAGTGAACACAATGACTGTGTTTATCCAGCAGTGGGCTCCATTGATTTGTGACGGGAAAGCCTATTTCAGTTCAGCAGTGTGATATATTGTTTCATATGCATCATGGTGCTGTGTATCTTACTGTACAGGTTTATGGTAACTCTGTGCACCAGTAATTGCATTCCACCTGCCACATGTCTGAGCAGCAAACATCTGTGTGTGATGCTGCAACATTTAACAACAATACTCCTGCAACTGTACAGAAACACAGCCATAAATCAAGTGGCATTCATTTCTCGAAAGTTACTAACATGTTAGGCAATGCTTTCAACAACAACCCAAGTTGCCACACCTGTTACCATCCCTGTGTGACGGAAGAGAGAGAGGAGGAACTAGAGGAGTCAAAAGGCGGTAAGTGGTCACTGCTTGTTTGACATACCAAAAGATGCCATTCAGACAGGGCTTTATAGGATTAAAAAAAAAGTGGAAAGGGATAATAGACTTGGTTCTTACTTTATGCAGGCTTTTGTTTGTCCTCCTAAAGAGCGCCTTGTGTGTTTAATCAGTAACATCTAAACAAATAGCCATGCAGGCTCAAAAATACTGAGGACCAAAGGACTTTCAGACCCTGTTAATATTTAACCCAATGCCTGACTGTGTTAACCGGCAGGAAAGAAGGGAATGAAAGCATCATCCAGCAAGAGACTCTGAACATAACGTCCTACTGAGTGACATCAGCTCAAACTTTGTATATGTTTTAAAGTATTGCATAAGTACATAAGGGGGGTAGATGTACAAGTCCTATGACAGCATTTACAAACTTTACATAATTTCTTATGATATATAAGACACAACAGGAAACAGCAGCTAAATCGTGCAAAAGCATGCACTGCATAAAGAAACAAGGTCAAATGTGATCCAGCAAGACGTGTAAATGTACACACTGAGGGGATCACTAGCTGTACATTCACTTATTATGGAATAATACAGCTTGAGTCAAAAGTTCACCCACCCCACCCCTCAATTTGTAGCAATCATTAACAATGACAGAAGGAACAAAACTAATTAAATGTTGACTTTTAGTGACAAAGGTTAGAACAATATCATCAGAAAACCTTTCCCTACATAAATCCTATTCATGCCACTTTGTTCCATTCTATATTTCCCACCCTTGTTATCCAAGCCCCACAGTTGGAGAACCACTGGCCTTAAAGGCTCCATGAAGGCGACCTGTAGATAAATGTCTCATTCTGAGGTAATAAAGACACAATGAATCTTATATTCAAGTGATTATACACCAATATAAGTGTAATATTAGATTCCATTTCTGCCAATTGAGCTATCTAAACATTACAAACTAGATCTTTTTTATAAGCTCAGTTTTATGTGTCCATTAATATAATTTTAATTAATTCTTAAACTTTTTCTGATAAGTTCCATTTGATACATTTTTGCTGCTTTGGACATTACAAACAAATATTCACCTCCATTGTATTGAGGAAAAAAGGAAACAGCAGACATTTTAAAGACCTGTCAAACCCTCAACTGGTAAAACTTAAACCTCCCTATACATAGAAAACTTGCTGCATATAGATAATATTCTTCTTCAACATGAACAAGTAGTAGTAAGCACTACGACAATTGCAACATCTAGTGGCCACCCTGAAAATGACAGGGCCAAATATATTACTGTAATATCCTTTTTTTAGATTAAGCATAACATATTAAAACCAGAGCAGAGTAATGATTTATTGTAGCAATTATTGTAGGTCAAACCTTCAGTAACAAAGAACATCAATAAAACGACATTGGTTTCATAAAAACTATTTATTGAACCATCACTTCAGAGTTAAATATTCATCTTTAATAGGTTTTATCAAACAAAGGAGTGTTTTAAACACTGGAGTCATGAAGTCACGTGGGTCAAGTCCTACTTTGCTGTTTGAGTAAGGCCACTGGCATTGAAGTTGTAACAGATGCATTCTTCACAGTAAAAGGTGAGTTTACAGAGGTCTTAACCATCTGGAGCCAACAGGTAGTCCACACACAGAATAACGAAGAGTGTTTCAGGGAGAGACAGAAGTTTCCTATCAAGTTTCCTACAGTTTCTGGATCAGAATGGATGAAGCTCCACCACCTCCATTGCAGATGCCCGCCAGCCCGTACTGGCCTGGCTTCAGGTTGTGCACCATGTGACCCACAATTCTTGCCCCAGACATCCTGACAGGAGAAGAGACAAAGTATAAGTTAATATCCAGGACATTTTTGTACATTTACTGAAATGTATGTTCTAAAATGCTGTTGTTGATTTTCTGTGCACAGGAAGAGATGCATTGAGTTTTCTGCAGTTCCTGTAGTTTTATTACAAATAAAGCTCTACAAAGCACTCCCTCTGTCCTCTGTGACACAGAAGTTGATGTCATCATTGCTTTTCCAGCAGTGGAGGAGATGAGAGAAGCCGCTCTTAAGAGGCGCTGCAGCAAGGACCCAGACCCACACACGATGAGCCACCAGGGCACCCCAAATTAAAGATTTATTTTGACCAGTCCAGAGTTAGTGATTATGAGATCAGTGGAAATACTAAGAGTGAGTTTTATTTTGTCTCTGTCCACTCTGAATCAAGTTATAATGTTGTTGACATTGATATGGGAAGTACAATTATTGTTTTTGTCTATGGAGTCTGGTGGCAAACAATAGCAATATTACAGCTGTGTCAGGTTAAACAAATGCTTTTAGGGGTCCTTTCCATAATGTTGTCAGATACTTAGAACAATCTGAGCCTGTCATTGACTAAAACCAGCACTGTTAGTTGACATATTTTGAAACGTTAGCTTACACTGCAGCCCTTTTCACACATATTTTCACATCCAACTGTGAATTAAGGCTTTATTTTGACCAAACCAGCGTTGGTTGTTAAAAAGATTGTAGAAAAACTAACTAACTGGTTTTACTGGGTTTTATTTTGTTTCTGTAACACTGATCTGATCTGAGATGTTGATGCTCTAGGCATTCAGTGGCAAGTGAACTTTGCATTTATAACCTTTAAAGTACATAAGATACTTGAAGAAATACAAACAAAAGCCACTCATTTAGAAATGTTTCACAAAACAACAACAAAAAAATGATTTAGTTTAAAGATTAAAACAAGTGATGCAGCAGTTAAATGCTGGCCTTTCTTGCGTTTTGATGTCCATAAGGTCAACATACTTACTTTTTGATAATTTGTCTGAACTGCTTTGTCAGTTAAAGCTGATTCTTTTGTCTCCTACTCTACTGAATGGCTAAACATAACAGAAAGGAAAAAGGTAGATGAAAAATGGAGGAGATATTTTTTTGGAAAACAGGAAACTCCTCGTTCCTCATCTGCGTTTATTTAATCCTGGGAAAATCTAAGTGGTAGTATTCGTTATTTTCTCTTCATTCCACGTCACATCCCAGATCTCTTCCAGAGGTCTGTACCATCCCCTCTCAGCTGCTTACCCAATGGGGTGTCCCAGTGACACAGCTCCCCCGTTCACGTTGACTTTTGCAGGGTCAATGTCCAACATCTTGATGTTGGCCAACACAACCACACTGAAGGCCTCGTTGATCTCCCACATGGCGATGTCATCCTTCTTCAGCCCTGCTGCGTCCAGAACCTGACAGACATGGTGGAAGTGTGAGGAGGTTTGAACCGAACTGCATCCACAAAGTTGAGTATGGTTCCATATAGAGCACATCTTTTGACAGTTTGGTAAAATAATTCTCTTTAGGACTTTAACACTAAAAAAAATATTAGATGCCTCTGAACCTTAGTGACAAACCTGGATCATATAATTTGGATTTTTACATTTTATATTGCGCACATTTGATCAGAATCCACACATTAACATAAAACACAACAACTCAACAAAAGGAAAATGCTCAAGCAACTTTCATGTTCTCTACCCTGCCAACTGCCATATTTCCTGGGATGAGCAACTTAAATGTGTAATAATAATAATAATAATAATAATAATAATAATAATAATAATAACAATAACAACAACAACAACAACAACA